AGGTGCGGCTCAAGACGTGTACCGCATGGCCCCCCTTGGGCACGGGGACCTGTGGGGGCGAGCCAAATTACCCATGTGCGATAACACGAGCCGTTTGCCCCGCACGGTGACGTGGGGTAACCTGTGTCCCCTGGCGCAGGTAGAACCAGGGAGGCATGAGGGCCGCCCGCCATCGGCGGGTCGGTGGAGCTCATGGAGCTCCACGTGGTGAGCCTGGCGCCTCTTCCCTTTCTTTTCTTCTCTCTTCTTCACTTTTTCCATCTCGGGCCCCGCCAGGAGTGCGCGGCCCCTAACTCCAGGGGGTCGCGGGGCGGCGGGTTTGCCCCGCCCAATTTCGGTGGCTAGGACTGTACCTGGCAGCAATGTCGAGTCGACCGAGCGCGGAGGCGTCGCGGCCCCCTGCCTGGTTGCCGGTTCGTCTGAGGCCGGCGCGGGGCGGGCCGCGCGCATGTTGTCGCGGTTTCGAGGCTCGCCGCTGTCTCCGTCGGGTGTCCGGTAACTCACCTGACTAAGACAGCGGCCCCGCGGATGGGCGAACGCATCGCGTCCGTCTCCTTTGCTGTGCCCAGGGGGAGCAGGAGGAGGAGGAGGAGGAGGAGGAGGAGGAGGAGGAGGAGGAGAAGAAGGGAGGAAGAGAAGGGAAAACAAACAGGAAGGAGGGGGGAGGCGGAAGATGAGGATGATGATTATGAGGAGGGGGAGGAGGAGGAGGAGGAGGAGGAGGAGGAGGAGGAGGAGGAGGAGGAGGAGGGATGAAGCGTAGGAGGGAGAAGGAGCAAGAGGGAGGAGGAGGATGGGGAAGAAGAAAGAGATGGCGCGCTCTTCGGGGTCTGTGACGGAAGCGGGCGCGGGAGGACCAGGGAACTGCGCAGCCGCACTGGAACGAAAGTCGCGCCCTGCGAGGGAGGGTGGATGGGGATAGAGGGGAGGGCACGCGGCCGGAGGGGGGAGGGTCAGCAGGAGGAAGACGAGGAGGGACAAGCATGGAGGATTATCAAGAAAAAGAAAGGAGAGGATGAAGCAGCTAACAAGAGAAATGAAGGAGCGGGCGACGAGGTACGGATAAGAGAGGAGGGTTAGGCAGAGATGTGAAGGATGATACGAACGGTATTTAAGCTGCGTGAGGCAGAGTACGCAGGATCCCGCTGATGTATGAGGAGAGGGTGAAAGCAAGAATACATAGGATGCTGAGGCAGAACAAGAGGAAGAATATGGTGAGGGTGGTAATGGTGATGTTGATGATGCTGATGATTATGATGCTGCTGATGACGATGGCAATGGTGATGCTGGTGGTGATGCTGGTGATGTTGAGGACGATGAGGGGGAGAAGGAGGCTGAGTACGTGTGGGAGCGGCCAGAAGCGAATGAACACGACGATGGTGAAGGAACTGATACATGACGACGAGGAGGACATGGCGGTAAATGGATGGAGGACGAGGAGATGGAGGTATGATGATGTAGGTAGAGGGAACGCGTTTCACGGGCGCTTGCCTTGGGAACTTCCCCCCCCTCTCCCACGGGGGGGGTTCAAACCTCCCCCCCCGCCCCCAGCGCCGGCGGCCGCCAGCAGGGCCGACGTCGGGGACGCAGTGACGATGACCAGAGGCAGCCCGAGGGGGGGGAGGGTTCAACTCCCCCCCCCCTGGCGCCGAGGGGGGACGGGGGGGGTTCAACCCCCCCCCCCCTGGTGCTGGCGCCGGCGCCTGCGCTGGCGGCGGCCAGCAGCGCCGTCGCTGGCGCCGGCGACACCGGCGACGCAGCAACGATAACCATGACTACCACCACCACCACCACTACCACCACCACCGCGACCTCAACCCACCACCACCACCACCAACCCAACACACAACCACCACCACCACAGCCACCACCACCACCACAGCCACCACCACCACAACTCACCATCGCCACCACCACCACAAAGACCCACCACCACTACCACCACCACCACCACCACCACAATCTACCACGCCATCACCACCACAACCACCACCACTACCAGCAGCACAACCCACCACCACCACCACCACAAACCACTACACCACCACCACCACCACCGCCGCCCGTCACCACGACCACCACCAGCACCACCTCCACAAGCCACCGCCACCACCACAACCCACCACAACCACCACCACCGCAAACCACCACCACACCACCACCAAACCACCACCACCACCACCACCACCACAACCCACCACCACAACCCACCACCACCACCACCACCGTCACCACCACCACAAACAAACAACCACCACACCACCACCGCACCCCCACACCGCCACCGCCACACCACCACCGCCACCACCACCACCACAACCCACCACCACCACCACCACCACCACCACCACCACCACCACCACCACCACCACCACCACCGTCGTCCTCGTCGACGCTCCCCGCCGCCGCCGCCGCCGCCCGCCGCAGGCGCTGGCGCCGGCCCAGAAAAGGAAATCGTCGTCCCCGCCGCCGCCGCCGCCGCCAGCCGAGGAGAGGGAGAGAGGGGGGGGGGGGATCTGGTTCCACCCCCCCCCTCCAAGAGATCACAGAACGCGCTCTTCCTGTAGTTTCGATACAAAGGAGGAACAGGAGGATGACGATGACGAGCTGCAGGAGGATTGATGCGGGATAATGAGGAGGTCAAGGATGTAGCGGGGGGGGGAGCGGAGGTAGGATGGGTGATCGAGCGAGGATGTTGAAGGAGGATGGGCGGGGGGCGTGGGGGAGAAAATGAAGAGGGAGGAAATGGGGAGGATGTATGGCAAGGGACGGAGGAGAGAGGTGGAGAGGAGGGCCAATGAAGAGCGGGGGTTGGATCAAACACTGAGAAAGACCCAACCATGTGCAGGCGTGGGTACCGCAAGACGGAGCTCCCTATGGGGCCACGAATGGTGCGAGGGGCGTGCCAATGTGGACGCGAGGCCGTCATGCGAACGTTGCCACTGGGGTCTCCTTGCTCTGTACTGCAGGTCCTGGGCCTTCTGTTGTCGGCCCTCATTCTTCTCTGCTCCACCCCTTCTCCCTGCTCCACATCTCTACCTCGTTCCGCCGCTTTCCCTCTTCGCTCTTCCCTCTCCTCTCCACCTCCTCAGGCATCTGCCTTCCCTTCCCCCCTTGCCCCGCTCTTCTCCTCCTCTCCCTCCTCCTCCCCGTTCCTCCTCTTCCTCTTCTCCTCCTCCCCGTTCCTCCTCCCCGTTCCTCCTCCTCCTCTTCTCCTCTTCCTCTCCACCTCCTCAGGCATCTGCCTTCCCTTCCCCCCTTGCCCCGCTCTTCTCCTCCTCTTCCTCCGCCTCCTCGTTCCTGCCCGCTCCTCCCCTCGTCCCCCACCCCTCCTCCTCTTCCGCGTCATCGTCAGCATACTCCAGGTTTCGTAATAGAAGGGAGGGGGTCTCATTTCGGGGGGGTCTCTTCCAGGCTCTCTTGGAGGGCCTGGGGGGGTCTGGGGACGATGTTTTGGAGGGTTCTCCCAGGGGGGGGGGGTCTAAAACTTCTCGTCTGGGAGGGTTGAGACCCCCTCCCTTTTATTACGAAATCTGAAATAATCATCCCCAGGTCGCCTCTTCACCTCCCAGCTGCTCCAATTCAAAGCGCTTTCTGCCAGGTTCGAGCCCCTCCCTGGCGACAGCATCAGTTCTACCGAAGCCGACTTCGGTAGCGCATCGCTGTAGGGGGGCCGGGGTACATGTGTCTCTCCTGAACTAGCCTCATCATCGACACCACCATCACCAATCACCGTGGCCATCACCACCACCATCAACGCGACCATCACCGCCACCATCCCCATCTTCATCATCCTCACCCCTTATCACCACCACCACCACCACCAAGCCTCACCATCACCACCACCACCACCACCATCGCCACCACCATCACCACCATCACTGCCACCACAACCGTCACTACCACCACCATCGTGGCATCCTGCTCTGCTCCTCTGATCCATGCCACGAGCCCTCCCCCGAGGGGGGGGGGCAGGAGGAAGCGGGCCGGCAGGTACGTCGTTGGCCTGCCCAGGAGCGGAGGAGCGCCCCGCCTCGGTGAGGTTCCCCATGGTGAAATTCGCGTGCCGGAGCGCCGCCTTGCGCCAGCGCGGCCCAGATCGAGCTGCGGGAGGGGATCATCCTCTGCTCCTTCCTCGTCCTCCTGCCCGTCCCCTGCCCCTTTCTGCTGCTTCTTCTCCTCGTCCTCGTCCGTCCCTTCCCGTTTCTTCTTCTCCTCCTCCTCCTCCTCCGCCTCCTCCTCCTCAGCCTCCTCATCTTCCCAATTCTTTTCCTCCGCCTCCTCGTCCTGCTCATGCACGATCTCATCTTCTTCCTCCTCGTCCTCTTCCTTACCTTCCCTCTCCCATTCGGAACCAGCCACTCATCGTCATAGTCGTCATCATCGCCAACCCGTAGTCGACACCACCGCCATCTCGAACATCATCAGATGCACCGATATCGCTACCATCATCGCCATCGCCAACACCAACGACAATCGTGACTACTATTACCATTTAACAAGCCAATGATTTGTCATGGACCCAGATGTGATGACAGCGCGCTGATGCTGAGCGATAACAGAAGTTCACAAATGCGTTTCTCCGTGTTCTCTACTCCGTTCTTAATAATCACTACTTTCTGACATTAATTTTGCTCCCTACTCCGCGCCGTTCTCCACTCTATTTTCTCTACCCTGCGCTCTGCACTCTCGCCTCCAAAATGTCCGCCTCCTGGATGTCCGTCCGCTCTCAGGCGCTCTTGGGGGGCCCCCGCGTAACTTGTTGAGGCGCCAAGAGCGCGTTGTTCGGGACACGCGTGTCCAACATGGTTTCAGACGGACTCGGAGACCGTCCTGGAGAATTCGTGGCCGCCTCCTGGAGGCCCTGGAGGGTGGCCCCGGAAGCAAAAATCGTCAACATCGATTTGCTGTTGTATGGGTTTCGCATTACCGCCTTTTCGGTCTTCAGAGCGTCCAAGACGGCCCACGAGTCGCCCGAGATCACCCCAACACGGCCCGAGAGCCCCCAAGAAGGGTCCAAGAGGTCCCCAAGACGGCCCCAAGAGGGGCCGAAAATGGGAACACGAGCTGACATTTTGAGCACTCCGCCGTAAGATGGCCCCAATACCCCCCCGCGCTCACGAAACCCCAAGAGGCCCAAATCAGGACCCAAGATGTCCCCAAGACGCCCCCCAACCCCCCCGAAACCGTCTCAAAGAGGCATCCGAGAGGCCTCCCAAGATATTCTCACAGGCATCCAGGACGCCTCTGACCTAATTACAACCCCAAGCATGGTGGCGGGATTGGCCGAAGGATACTCTATCCGCCGCCGCCTGTTGGCTTGCCACAAGGGTGCCCGGTGTGCTAGATGTTCTGAAAGGGATGTGATTCTTTCAGAACTCCCCCTGGGCCGTAGGCACAGCGCGCTGGCCACCAGGAAGACCTGCTCCAAAAGGCTCCAAGATGGCCTCCAAGACGGCCAGGATGGTTCCAAATTCGTCTAAGAGGGTTCAAGATGGCCTCCAAGACGGCCAAAGAGAGTCCAGGATGTCTCCAAGCTCGCCCAAGAAGTCTCGAAGACGGCCCAAGACGGCCTCGGAGTCCTCCAAGAGGCCCCCCAGACAGCCCAAGAGGCTTCCAAGAGGCCTTCCAGGAGGGCCCGAAGAGGCCCAAATCGCTGATTTGTTTTGTTCACCCTCGCCGCATCGATGCTGATCGGGAGAATCCAGGAAACTCAGAGCACCGCAGAGGCCACCGCGGAAAGGCAAGTGCTGTTCCACGGCGGGAAACTGTACATAACTACGGTGATGGTACTTTCGCTGGCTAGTGGGCCGTCAGGACAAGCTGGAAGAAGATGGGGGCCTCCCATAGTTAAGCAGCACCAGGCTGCGTGCTACCTCTGACACATCTCTGCTCATCACCAACTTTGTGTGGAGGACAGGCCGGGGCAGCGCGAAAAATGCTTGCACGACCAAAAAGCACAGGGCGTGGGGGGAACGAGACAGGCGGGCAGGACGCTCTGCCTGGCGCACCGCAGCTTCCCTGGCTCCTGCAGGGCGCTCAGTAACCGAATGCCTTGGTGGTGGCATCCAAGCACGCCATGTAATCCTCAGGCTTCATCAGCGGGTGGTACGCCGGGAAGTTCTCGCCGTCGCACGTGGGCTTCCACTTCTTGTTTTTCTTCTCGGCCTCTGGCCGGTCCGCCTCGCAAGTTCCGTCCAGCTTAGTGCCGAATGCCTCTCCACGGGAGACGCCCTTCGCATCCAGGCAGACCTGCGCAAACAGATCCTCGCCCATGGGGCCGTACTTGCCTCCGTCAACGCCCGTTTTCCAATCGACGGTGTCCTTGCACGAGGCCATCGACCCCAGGAGTGTCTCGAAGGCCACCGCCGAGAAGATCTCCAAGCTGCCGAACCACCCATACTTCACGCCTTTGCAGTTCTCGAGGTAGAGGCCGTTGGCCGGGACCAGCTTGCTGGAGAGGTAAGACACCAAGCGGCTCGGCACGAACACCGCGTCTGGATCAACCTTCACGACCCAGCTGGCGCTCTTGTACACGCCCGCTTCCCCAATTGCCTTCCAGGCCTGGTAGTGCAAGCCCGTATTCAGCCAGGTGCCAGTCTCCTCTCTCTTCGCGAAATGAAAGTCCCCGTCGGCATCCTCCAGCTTCACGAGGGGAGCGCCGGGCCCGACCTCCCCCTCCTTGTCGCTAAATACTTCCCAGTTCTCGCACCCGAAGATGCTGGTCTTCCTGCCGTATGCTCCCTGCAGCAGCTCCAAGTCGTACATCTTCTTCGTGCTGCCGATGTCCTGCATGACCACTGCGAAGCAGTACAATGACGGGCCGTACCAGTCGGCATCCTTGAGGATCGGGTCCATGATCGGCTGCGTCTGAACGCACAGCTGGGAGGCGCTGGGGGTGCAATTCTTCAGGCACTTGCCCTTTCCTGGCTTGGTCTCGAAGCAATTCAGGCCGGCAACGTTGCAACACCCCAGGCTGTAGCAGTCATCATCCGTGCTGGCGCACTTGTCGCGCGGGGGCATGGCCACCGTCTGCACTTTGCTCTGGAGGCGGTCCGTGTCCGACGCCGCCCCGCCTAGAGCCAAGCGCGCTGCCCCCGCGCCTGCGCCAGCCAGGAGCAGGGCGGCCACGCCTGCGCCACCCGCCGCTCGCCAGGGCGAACGCCGGGCGCGAGCGTCCTGGACCAAGAACTGCTCTGATCCGCTCGCCTCGCCGCCAAGCTCCGCGATTTCCATGCGCTCCGTGGCCGAGGCCATTGGCAGCAGGCTGCGATGTGGCTGCTGGGAGCGCTCGCAAGACCAGGCTGGCTGCAACAGACTCTTGAGCCAAAATGGCTACCTACGGAGGCCCAAATCGCTGATTTTGGCACTTGCTTCTGTTGGCACTTGCTTCTTTTCCGACGGCCCCAGACGGCCCACGAGGCCCCCCACATCGCCCCCAAAAGACCCCTATGACGGCGCAAGAAGCCTCCAAAACGACCCCAAGAGGGCCCCAAGACGGCCCAAGAGGTCTCCAGGTCTCCGAGACGCCCAACATGGCATCCAAGATAGCCGTGAAGCGCCCCAAGATGACCCCAAGCCGGTTCAGAGAGGCATTCAAAACTGCTTCTGACAGGGTCAGACGGCCAAGGCAAAAGAGGCCCCCAAGAAGCCTCAAAAGGCCCCCGAGAGGCCCAAGAAGGCTCCCAAGAGACCTCCCAAAGGCTCTAAGGAAGCTCCCAGAAGGCCCCAAGAGTGCCCCAAAGGCTCCCAAGAGGCCTGCTCATCCTCCTCTTCTTCCTCCTCCTTCTCCTCCTCTCCGTGTTTCCTCCCTCTCCTCCGCCTCTTGTTTCTCCACCACGTTTTTCCAACAGATTTTCACAACGGCTGGGGGAACACATGGTCCGACAGCTTGGCAGAGCTCTGGCCACGACGTTCGGCCACATGGGCGATTCCAGAAGGCAGGGGCCGGCGGTGCGGAGACCTGGGCCGCGAGCGGGCCCAGATACGGCCCTGCAGGACCCTGCAGGATCTGGCGCTCTGGCCGAATCTCGTCTGCGCTGAGCCCCGTGTGAGGGCCAACACGATCTGGGGAGACCGGCTCAAGGGGGGGAACATCGAGCTTCAGTTTTCGATGCTCCGCCGCGAGACCGGCGAGATACCCCCGATGGCAAAACCGCACGCTCCCACGCGTGGTAGGCTGTCGGGCCTCTATTGGCGACCCGGGGGTCGATGCATCCCCCCCCGAGCCCATCCCCTCCAACGATGCTCCTGTCCGTGACCTGCCCGCTTCTGCCCCCCGCGTGGGGCGCCTTCCCCATCCTGCTGGCGTGAACGCAGAGCTGGATCACGGTCCGGTCCAGATGGCCGCGTCCCCAAAGGTCCCGACCCCTCCCCTGGGGATGCTCTCGTCCCAAACGGCTGTTTGGCGGTGCCGGGGCGCGAAAACTGCCCCCGAGGGCCGAGACCGAGGAAGCAATGCGGGAGTGGCGAAATCAGATCGTCTGAGATCTGGGCCTGCGCCGAGCCCCGTGCCTCGGGGGTTCCGAATCCGTGCGGTGACGGACCCCTGCGGGGAGTCGAGATCCCAAGAGGCCTCACCGCACGGTCCGTCACTGCACGGATTTGAGACCCTGCAGGCCCCGGCCGGCCGACCACATCCTCGGAGAACGACCCCGCTCCCCAAACCTGAAAGGGCCCCAGGACACACAAACAAATACACACCAACAAAAAATATCCCCTATATTTTCCAATATTTTCTGGGTTTCTGTCTTCCCCCCCCCTTTCCCATATTTTCCTATATTTTCTGGGGAATCGAAGATGAATGGTGTCTGTGTGTTTCTTTCCCTCCTGAAAACCGTGCGGTCACCTCGAATCCCCACTGGCTCACCGTACGGAGCGGTCACCACGTTCGGAGGCCCCCGACGTCTGCGCTGAACCTACCTGCCTGCCTGCCTTCTCCACATCGAGCCGCATCGCCGACGCGATCCTCCAGCCTCCTCTGCTCGAAACCCATATGGATTTCGAAATAAAAGGGGGAGGGGTCACAACCCTCCTGGACAAGCAATTCCGGATCGCTCTAAGACCAGCAGTGGAAAGCGGCCCTCTGCTCAGACCCCCCGAAGGCAGCTCAAATCAGGACCCCCCCGGATCAGACAACTTTTACCATGGAATTCGGAGTACCTGCCGCCTGATTCCCTTTCCCCGATTCGCGGCGTTCAACCTGGAATGTCCTCGGCGGTGTGGCCGCCGCGTCGACACGACACGAACCTGCCGGACTTCGAGACCAGAAAATCCACACTCATAAGAAGCCCGTCCGACAGGCGAGGCAATCCTGAGTCAACGCACCCAAGGCAGGAATCCAACAGGGCAGGGCTGTTTGGTAGACGCCCAGGGCCGTTTTGGGAAACGCCAGCTCTCGGGGTCGGGGTGGTCTCTCCCCCTCGAATGCCTGCCGGCTGAACCAGCTCGGATAGCAGACCGAGTGCAGACGTCTAGATAATCTAAACTAGCGCGCCTGATGATTTCCTTCCGATTGCTGTGCCGAACAGCTCTGCAGCTGATCTGCAGCTCGAGTTAAGTCAAGAAACTCATCATCATCATCTCCATAAAAAAAGCGGAGTCCCCCCCGCGGAGGGGGCCTTCCGCACACGGTCGGCGCAGGAAAAAAAACTGCAACGCAGGTCTTCGCAAACCCGGAACAGCCAATACGAGCGGCCGCCTCGCGGCCACGAGCGGCTCGCTAACCCGGGTCAGCCAGAGGGGGCCTTCGCAGGATCCTGCAGGATCTGGCGCTCTGGCTGACTCCCGTTTGCACTGACCCCCGTTTATTAGGCCCCGATTCTCCCCCTCGAGTGCCTGCCGGCTGAACCCCCCCCCCGCGGACGGGGCCTTCCGCACGCGGTCGGCGCGGACGCAGAAGCGGATCGCGGCCCGGATGGCCGCAGCGCGGCCGCCGCGGCACGCCTCGCGGAAGGCGGCCCTGCTGCCGAGGTCGCCCCGCAGGGCGGCGGCCGACGCCCTGGACGGGGGGGGGGCGCGCGCCGCGGCGGTGGGCGGGCGGCCTGGTGCGGGGGGGCGACAGGGCGGGGCAGCACGGGGTGGGGGTGGTGAGGAGCAGCTCCCGCAATCCGCTGGTTCTACTGGCGCCTCCAGGCGCAGGGAGGCGCCCCTGCATCGAGGAGCTCCCGTAATCAGCTGGTTCTCCTGGCGCCTCCAGGCGCAGGGAGGCGCCCAGGCATCGAGGAGCTCCCGTAATCAGCTGGTTCTCCTGGCGCCTCCAGGCGCAGGGAGGCGCCCAGGCATCGAGGAATGGGCCCGGCGGCGGGGCGGAAACAAGCCGCATGCAGCAGGCTTCGGGATCCCCCCTCTCCCGAACTGTCCGACCCTTTCGTCCAGCCCGACCCGAAAGGCTTGCAGGGGGGAGGGCTCTCTGACAGAGCCAGTGCGACATCCATCGGGAGCGGCCAAGAGGGGGGTGTCCAAGAGGGGGGGGGTGCAAATCATGACCGGCGGCATGTGCGCGGCCCAGCGGGGGGGCCAGGGACGTCATGAGATAAGAAGAGGCGCCATGAAATCCGGGGAACTCTCATGGCCGGCGCCATTCGGGTCGGGCGAAAGGGGGGGATAGCAAAGGGGGGGTTTGAGAATCAGCTCACGTAGCTGATTTTCCCGGCGCCTCCCGGCGCCGGAGGCGGCTACGTATCGAGAAATGGCCCCCTCGGTGAGACCGAAACCAGCTGCATGCAGCAAATTTCGTACCCCCCCCTTTCCCAATCCCCCCCCTTTCGCCCGGCCCGAGCCATGATATCCCCCCTCCCCGTAGTCCCCCCCCCCCTCTCTTCCGCCCCCGAAGCCAGGGCGAGGGGCCGCGGAGGTGCGCCCCGCGGCGCACACGGGGAGGCTGGCCGCACCTCGGGCTGGCATCCCTGCGGGCAGAGCGGCCGAGGGCGCAGCGCGCGCTCGCGCGGGCCTCCGCAGAACACGCGACCAGCGGAGCCCGCGCCCCGACCACACAAGAACAGGTTGGGCGCCCGAGTTATCCGGGGTAACTCGGGTCCGGGGTAACTCGGGTTTGGATTCCCGAAAAAGGAACCCGAGTTAGCCCTGACCCGAGTTACCCCTGATGATTCGGGGCTCTGGACGCCCGAGTTATCCGGGGTAGCTCGGGTCCGGGGTAACTCGGGTTTGGATTCCCGAAAAAGGAACCCGAGTTAGCCCTGACCCGAGTTACCCCTGATGATTCGGGGCTCTGAACAGGGACCCTCTTTCGGCTACACGCAAGAGTGACCCTGGGTAAGGGTGACCTCTGGTGCGCGGCTTTTTGGGGGCCGCGTGGGGATCAAGCCTGGGCGCGCAAGCCGCTCGGGGCGACTCTTGAGGTTCGGGGCGGCCCGGCGACAAAAGTACACCCCGAAGCCCAGAGCAGGCAACACAACCGGGCCCGGCCCGCAGAGGTGTCTCCAGCCTCCCAGGGCGGGCGTGGATGGCAGGAGCACTCTGGGATCCAGGCGGGGCTCTGGCGGTGTTCGGGCCGTTCTTCAGATCCAGGTCAGAGGGCCAGCTCGTGGCCGCGGCTCGCCCTGGCCAGGCTCGCCTCTGCGCCCCTCCTGCGGCCCGGCCCGCAGGTGTGCCTCCAGCCTCCCAGGGACGTGTGGATGGGAGGACCGCGCTGGGATCCAGGCGGGGCTCTGGTGTTCAGGCCGCTCCTCGGAGCTGGGCCCAGAGCCAGCTCGTGGCCGCGGCTCGCCCTGGCCGGGCTCGCCTCTTCGTCCCTCCTTCGGCCTCCCTTGTGCCAGCACGACGGCGAGCTGCAAGGACGCGAGGCCTCCACCCGACGTCGCCCAGGTCGTCGCGATCTGAGGCAGACCCTCGCCGCCCTCGCCCGCGCCCTCGCCGTGCGGGCGCGGCCGCCGCGAACGCACGCGCAGAGGCGGCGCCTCGACTCCAAAGAGGAAGCCGCCGCGCGGGCCGCGGGGCCAGCAGTAGCGGCTCCGAGGGGGCAAGACTGAAGGGGCCCCAGGACACACAAATAAATACACACAAATAAAAATACTCCCCATATTTTCCCATATATTTTTTTGGATTTTCGTCTTTCCCCCCACTTCCCATATTTTCTTATATTTTCCTAAAAAATCGACGAATAATTGTGTCTGTGTGTTTTTCCCCTCCTGAAAGACGCTGGCCCCGGGGCAGGGGCCGGGGCCTCCGTGGCCGCGGCCCGGCGGACGTCGGGTGCCGTCGGCCCGCGTGGACACGAGGCCTCCCGGAGGGGGTCCGAGCGGACGGCGTCGGAGGATCGCGCCGCGTCGTCAGTGCAGCGGCGATGCATCGCCGACGCCGGCGACACGTCGGCGACGCCGTCGTGGAGAAAATCTGGCTCCGCCTCGAGCCGCATCGGCGATGCATCGGCGGATCCCATCCACTCCGACCCCATCTGGGAGGCCTAATTAGGACGGAGGCCCCAGAACCGCCAGAAAGCGGCTCGGGATGGAGAACTGGTCCCAGGGGTCAAGGCCACCAGGGGTCCGCGTTTTCTTGATCTGTTTTGAGGGGGCAAGATCAATCAGTATTGAATCTGGGACTCGAATCGGATCGAACTGTGCACTGGATCGGGCTGAATTGGTTCGGAATCGCAGTTGGATCGGCTGCGCCAAGATACACAACGGCACGCATGCATGCCTCGGGCCGCATCGGATCGTCGGAATATATCGGAATCGCATCGGGTCGGGCCGGCGGATATCGTCGATATCGAGCCAAATCGATCGGATATACATGGTTCTAGGGGAAATGAACTTGACATAAACATCAAAAAAAACACAAGGGGTCCGTGCGGATTTCTCGGATCGGCACTAGCCCCCCTCCCTGGCGCGCGGAGCGCGTCAGGTGCGGAGCCCGAGGCGCCGCCAGGGGGGCCCCAGCGCCGATCCGAGGAATCCGCGCGGACCTCCGAGTTTCTATGTTTATGTCATTGTGTATTCCCCGAGGATCCTGAAGGGGGCCCTCGGCCCCCCCCCTCGCCGCGCCAACAATCACGGCGCTGTTTCGTTGTGCTCGCCTCTCTTCGCTCCCTTGAGGCCCCTCTTGCCCGGCTCCCAAGGCCGTCAGAAGGCGGCTCGGGAAAGGGGTCGAGAGACCTCCACGGGGCCCCCGTGGCGAACAGAAGCACGACGTCGTCTGGGGGTCTGGGGCGTGAAAATGGGAGGGAAGGGGGAGGGGAGCTGGGGAGAGGGGATCCTGAAGGGGGCCTCGGCCCTGGCAGCGCTCTATTCCCCGGTTCGATTTTTTAAAACTCCGGTTACATGGGACATCCCCTGACATCCCCTGGTCGACTGGGGAAAGGTGCAGTGGCTGGAAGACCTCGCTCGTATTAAACATATTGGTGTGTCGTCCATGCAAGAGCCGAGAAACAATATCATACTCTTGAGGAGACCGCGCACATTCCAAGAAAAATGACTTGGGAATCATCCGACTGCCGGGAAGTAGTAGTAGTAGTAGTAGTAGTAGTCGTAGTAGTAGTAGTAGTAGTAATAATAATAGTAGCAGCAGGAATAGTAGTAGTGGTAGTAGTAGCGGTCGTAATAGTCGTAGTAAAAGTAATAGTAGTAGTAGTAGTAGTAGTAGTAGTAGTAGTAGTAGTAGTAGCACAAGTAAAAGTAAAAGTCGTAGGAACAATAATAGTAGTAGTAGTAGTCGTAGTAGTAGTAGTAGTAGTAGTAGCAGTAGTAGTAGTAGTAGTAGTAGTAGTAGTAAAAGTAGTAGTCGTGACATTCGTAGTAGTAGTGGTAGTAGTAGTAGTAGTAGTAGTAGTAGTAGTAGTAGTAGTAGTAGTAGTAGTGCTACTACATCTACTAGTCCTAGCACTGGGAGCAGTAGCAACAACAAAGGCAACAATAGTAACAAGGATATTAAGTGTAGTCGTGTGTGGTAGTAGTAGGAGCAGTAATAGCGGTGGTAGTAGTAGTAGTAGTAGTAGTAGTAGTAATAGTAGTAGTAGTAGTAGTAGTAGTAGTAGTAACAGGAGTAGCAGTCGTCGTAAAGTAGTAGTAGTAGTAGTCGTCGTAGTAGTAAGAGAAGTCGTAGTCGCAGTCGTAATAGTGATAGTAGTAATTCTAGTAGGAGTAGTAGTAATAGTGTTAATAGAAGTCGTAGTCGCACAACTAGTAGTAGTACTAGTAGTAGCAGCAGGAAAAGCAATAGCGACAATGATACAATTCATAATCGTGATTGTTGCAGGAATTTCAGCAGCGTTAGTTGTTGTGGTCGTGGTATTAGTGGTATTCGTAGTAGTCGTAGTAGTAAAAGTAGTAGTCGTCGTCGTCGTCGTCGTCGTAGTAGTAGTCGTGGTCGTAATCATAAGAATCGTAGCTGTAGCAGTCGTAGCAGCACTACATCTACAAGTGCTAGTAATAGGAGTAGTAGTAACAACAGCAACAAGAGTAACACTGTAGTCGTAAAAGTAGTACTAATACTCATAATCATAAAACCTAGTAGTCGTAGTGCTTCTACGAGTTGTAGTAGTAGTAGTAGTAGTAGTAGTAGTAGTAGTAGTAGTAGTAGTAGTAGAAGTAGTAATAGAAGTAGTAGTCGTAGTAGTAGTAGTAGTAGTAGTAGTAGTAGTAGTAGTAGTAGTACTAGTACTAGTACTAGTACTAGTAGTAGTAGTAGTAGTGGTAGTCGTCGTCGTAGTAGTAGTAGTAGTCGTAGTCGCAGTGGTAGCAGTAGGAGAGGTAGTAGTCGTAGCAGTAGTCGTCGTAGTAGGCGTCGTCGTAGTAGTCGTGGTAGTAGTAGTAGTAGTAGTAGTAGTAGTAGTAGTAGTAGTAGTGTTACTAGTAGTAGTAATATCTGTGGTGGTAGTAGTAGTAGTAGTAGTAGTAGTAGTCGTAGTAGTAGTAGGTCCTAGTAGTAGTAATCGTAGTGGTTGTGGTGGTAGTAGTAGTAGTAGTAGTAGTAGGTCCTAGTAGTAGTAATCGTAGTGGTTGTGGTGGTAGTAGTAGTAGTAGTAGTAGTAGTAGTAGTAGT